GCTCTGTTACACAGATCTGTAGGAAAGGTACTTGGACACAGAGGAATGACACAGGGAAGGCAGAGTACAGAATCTAATATGGATACCCAGCCCTATTCCATCACTGGCTAACAAAAAGCTCAGATATAAATATGGAATAGCGAGCAGCATGTATCATATGATGCACTCTAACCCAACACATTTTGAATGTCAAAGAAATGTAAAGGAAAAAAAAAACATACCGTGCAAACTATATAATCTCTCCATATAACACTATGTACACACATACAATCGTACAGTACATAGCATATAGAGAGATTGCACATGTGCCCCCAGATGCTATTTAATGAAGAAATGTCCATCATCATGAGCCTTTTACAGCCTTAGCCAATGAGTGCTGCGAGTTAGGGATCAAAAGGGATAATCTGCATCGTTCATTTAACCCCTATTATGAATCCTTGCTTGTCTGATGCTTGGACTTCATTATTTTAGCACTTTATGTGCCCAATTACATGCCCAACCAATTGGAATACAGCTTGCAAAGGTAAAGCATTATGTCTCTGTTAGCCTCTTAGGTAAAATAACCTGCATGCACAGATTATTGTAGGTTAATCATGTGCAGTACAGTATATCAGGCCTACTTCTCTCTTCACTTATACTGGCTTTGCACAATGTAACTCCATTGACTTCAGTGGATTTACACTGGTGGGACATGAAAATCAGGCCTATTGCAAAGTAGAATTCAGTACCTTAAGCTTTGTAAATAATTTTGTACCCTTTTCCCCAGGATCTAAGTACTGAGGTTGGGTTCCATCCTTGGGGAAACTCGGAGCTTTCAGTAGGCGTTGAGTGCCCTCACCTCCCAGTGGAGTTAAGGCATGTTCTCCAACTGAAAACAGGGAAACCTTTTTCTTTTGGATCAGTTACAGTGAAGTATTTCCCCCTCTTTGATAAAAAATTAAATTGAAATTGAAACAAAGTGCCACATCTGTGGCTGATGTAAATCAATATAACCCCCTTGCTGATCTATGCTGATTTATACCGGCTAAGAATCTAGCCCAATGAATCTTACTTAAGCCAAAGTTTTGTATACAATATCTCCTGGTACAATGGTGGAATCTTCTATTTTTTGCTACACATTTATCTTATAGGAAACATGTCCTTTTCCTATAGTCTCATTTGGTAATTTGGATTGACAGCTGAGCCACAGATTTAACCCCCAAGACTCTTATTTTTCAGATGACTGAAAACAATCGGGAAGGACTATGAAGAGAGTTTTCCTGTGTTATCGGTTGAAAAAGCTATTCTCTTAACTGTAATGGAAAAGGAACAGAAGTGCCATTGGAAGGAGTGTGAGCATTAATCTAGATTTACAGCAAAAGAATGGTGAAATTGCAAAGTTTATGGATCAATTGCATGCTGAAATGAGCAGTGCATCTATTTTTAAGGGTCCCCATCTTTTAAGTACAAAGTGAGATTTCTTACTGGGACTCCATTAAAAGAATTGGAAGGAATGGGTTGGAGGTGCATATTAATAAAAAAAATCTACAAAAATGCAAGGATCAAAATCGGTAACGTTGCCCTGAGTGTTTGAGGGAAATAGAAGGTTGAGCTCTATTAGCATTACTTGAAAGACCACGGCAACAATGGTTTAAACTCTTTTACTGGTAACACCAATGCCGTCTGCATTGATCAATAGAACAGGAATATAAAATATGCTCAGCTCATGCTACTGCCTCTTCCCTGAGCTCTCGCAGCGAATGTAAATTGTGACCTCCTCACCCAACCGATACTCTCCATTTCACCAGCATGTTGGGGAAATGAGAGCACCAGCTGGCCTCTGCTCCAGTAAAAATGAAAATAAAATACAACTTTCACAGAAGGCAAGAAGCAGAAATAGAGGTTACTATCTGGAATGAGCTCATTGAAGGGGCAGAAAGCAAAGAAGACAAATCCCCCCTTCCCCCAAAACAAAACAAAACAAACAAACAAAAAAAAAAACCCAGAAGAGAGTTTGAACAATTTAAGATCTAAAAAAAAATTAGATTTAATAATATTTGGTCAGACAGTAATCAGTGCCGTCATAACTAACAGTGATGAGTTTCCTTGTTGCCGTTGATCTTTACATGATGTAAAAGCTTTTTATTCAGTATTCTCAACTGGCTTGACCTCATCCAGGCAATATTAGCGGGAGGTTTTTAACTTAAATATTTATATTTTAAGGATCCAGAATTAATAAGAATTAAATTGGACACGAGGGGTCCTATATGTATTATGGACTGCTATGGAAATAAGCAAAATTCAGTGCGTCTCTTTTCTAAGTGGTTGATGATAATGCTTTCCTGTATATTTATTATATGCAATATACATTCTGACTCTTTAACTAGGGCCCTTAGAAATGACATATTTCCTCAGAGGGAAGATGCTATGTCAGTCTAACACAGTTGTAGGTGTAATGACACATTCTGAGGCATGCTGAGAGCTATACAGCCAATGGCCACCTTATGGAGATACAGCTTATTAGCTTTGTCCGAATGCTAATAAATCTCCATTCTGTAGGGCGCTAGCTGGAAAGGCCTGGCTCCTTACCTTTGACATGGGGAATGAAGTGGTGTCGGAATGGGGAGTTAGGGCGGGAGTCATTGTGGGTGGAGCTGAGACTGCTAGTGCGCAGGTCTGACAACCGTTGCACACCAGTAGACAGCAGCTCTGCAGCAGCAAGGAATCGTGGGGCAAGACCAAATGGAAACAAAGAAAAAACAAAAAATAAGAGGCAGGGAAAGAGGCTTCAAAAGGAAAAACCACTGAACAATTAGGAGTCTGAAAAGTAGGAAGACAAAAGGTTAAAGTAATACCAGGGTTAAAAAATATTTATTCAAAGTTGTAGGAAGTATTTGAAAACAGGCTCAGATTTATATTGCACATCCCATTTAGTATAACATTCTCTGGCATATAGAGCTACTGAGTTACCAGAAATTAGCCTGCTATCCTCATGCAAACATTACAAACTCTGAATCCAAATTAATTTAGAAAGCAGCTGTTTTGATAAGTGCCCAACCAAACAACAGCAGTCCAGAGGCATGCAAGATGTTTCCTATTGTTTTAAGAAATTCCAAAGAGCAGCTGAGGTAGGGGGGAAAAAAGGCTGCAAACTTTTGCAAAACGTGGAAAGCACGAATTGCTTAAAGAAATGTAATGCGCTAACAGTGTCAACAAAAAGGGACTACTCCAAAGTGGTTCACTTCTTTCTCAAGGGTTGCCCTGGAGCCAGACAAAGCAAGAAGTTCTGTAAGGGAACTCAGCTTAATCATGCAAAAAGTATCTGTGTTCTTGCCAACAATAAGGTGATGAGATAGGTACTGCTTTAACTGATCAACTCCAGTAATGCTGGGAGAGAATTAGAGAGCATTACAAATGATTAGTTCAAAGCATGTTGAAAGATAAAAAATGCTACAGAAAAATGGTATTATGTATAGAAGAGAAACAAGTGAGTAATACAAATTTCTTGGGAAATGAGCCAAAGATGTGATATTTAAGTAGCTATGACTTGAAACAAAATCCCCCAAAATACTCTGTGTTCCACAAATTTAGGCAGATTTCAGAGCTGCATGCAAACTTTGTGGCTTGAGCTCATCTCTACACTGAAGAAAAGCTGGGGAACATATAAACAGAGAGATTGTTCCAAAGGAAAGTACTTTACACAAACAGATGGCATTATTTTTAACTGAAATAGTGAAACTCAGTGTCACGGTAAACTTTGGAATAAAACCCAGATTTGTCCAAATCTGTGACATAAACAGAACGTGAAAAACCTTAAGAGATCTGATAGCACTAAACAGAAGTTTGCAGCTTTTTCATACTTTGTCAGCGTCCTTTGGTTTTAACTACAATGCACATCTTAAAACATCATCATGTTGTCAGTATCTTGTAACATACAATATTGACTTTCTGTCCCACATCATGAAATTAGGTCCTTAAAATGAAGTATTTTTTGATATAGGTAACTAGCAGTTTTCAGCCCTCCACCACTAGAAGACAATTAAGTCACTCAAACTCCACACTGATAATTCTTTCATAGAGCCCTACTTTTAAAAATAGAGCTCCTACTGCATATGGTCTTTTGGTATCCCAACCATTCTGGTGTTGGGTAATCAGTGATGGGAATACGGGTGTATGAGAGTATTGCTTAATTTAAAACTTAATTACAAAGATTTTATTTCATCAATATAATATGAAAACTCAACATATCTGGAGGAGTATATTAAAAAATAATCTTTAGAGCCACATTTCAACAAAATGAGTGCCTAACGTGTATTTATAGAAATGCAAACATATGCATACATTTCATACATATTATGAATAATTATGAATGCACTGGGAACCTGAAGCAGTGTGTATATTTGTCTATTTTTTACATGCAACTGTATTACTTCTGAGTGAATAAGTTAGATTCCATATTATTTAAATGTAGCCTTTGGCAACTGACTAGCTTTTAATTAAGAAATTCTACTTGGCAAATATGGGCCTAAATTTTCAGAAGTGACTAGTGATTTTGGGTGTCCATCTTGACACACCTTAAAGGGGCCTCATTTTTAGAGGAAGGATGCTCAGCTCTTTCTGAAAATCAGGAGTCTCTAAGGTGTTAGGTACCCAAAATCACTAGTCACTTTAGAAACTTAGGCCATGATTTTTATTTTCAAGATGTATTGTTTTCCTTCAGACACCAGGCAGCCATCCTGAATTTCATGCAGCAAAAAATGGTTTACGTTCAAATACATTAAAATATTCCTAATTCTACTTTGTTATAAAACAGGTGAGCACATTTACAATACATTCATAAGATACACTAACTGGGCTTGTATTTGTCAAAGAATGAGAAGGATGAATAGGAATGAAAGTTTTAAAATTTGCCACTAGTTTTTCAACGCTAAACAATTAATAGTTTCTTCTCTATTTCATTGAGTGACATAATAAGAAATACAGTGCTTCAAGTTGTAAATCGCTGATGCAGTTGCTCTTACCAGGTCTGTGGAAATGCTGAGGGGAGCGTGACATTGTGGGAGTGTAGCTGTGTCGACTATACACTGGAGAACTAATAGAGCCCTGACTGGTTGACCTGTGAATCATGCGATCCCGAACATCCTGATAACCCTGAAGAATAAGAAGCATTAGAAGAATTAATAATAATAATAAAAATGCTTAAGTGCACTCCAGACAATTTTCCCACTATACTTGGCTTTCAACGGCCTCAAGATGTCAATGGAACCTGCTAACGGAATAACATCCTTTCATCTTAATGTCTGTTTCACTATCATACAGTAATGATATCTGTCATCAAAAGTTCTCTCATAGAATCCATCGCTGTAGAGACAGCTAAGTTCTAGAGTCCAATAATTCCATCTGACCTGCAGGCTGAATTCTGGTAAGTAACACTTATGCCTCAATTTTCATAAGTGACTAGTGATTTGGGGTGTTTCAATCTGAGATACCTTAAGAAGGTCTGGTTTTCAGGGCTCAGCCACCACCCTCTAAAAATCAGGCCCTTTTAAATGTTTCTTTAGTGGCCATCCAAAAAGAGAGGCACCCAAGATCACTGGTCACTTTTGTAAATCTTGGAATAAAAAAAAGCAAACAATCCTCCTGCAACACACCTTTCCTGTGGGAGAGGTGTAACTGGAAAACTCCAAGACCATAAGCATGTTCATAAAATTATTATAGAACTGGAAGCATGTAGAGGTATGTGTACATTTTACTTTAAACAAAATAAGTGACAATGTATATATAGTGGTAGCAACTAAAATCTTGACAAATGCCTTAACCTGTGTTTAGTGTCACTATAATGTTCACAGTGCCCTCTAGAGGAATGCCACAGTAATGTTTTCTCACTAAGATTTTCATGGTGAGCAGTGTATAGTATTCAGATCCTGATTTGGCCCTGATCTATGCACCACAACAAAGAAAAATTCATGAAAGTGACCTTTGCTGTATAGACTTTGATACATGCCTTTGCTTTGCAGACATCAAATCCTGCAGTGGCTTCATTCTCCATAGCAATCGGACAGCTAGCACTAAATGTCCTCTCTTTTGATTTTCCTGTACTTTCAATAATCACAAAAGCTGTGCTATGTAAATAGCAAATAGAACTGGGCTGCCTAGAACAATCAATAACTGCACTTCCTGGCAGCAATAATTCTAGCAATTGTGACATATTGCCCCAGAGGGCTCCATCAGACTTACTTCTGCAGACGGGGTGGGAGACAGTGTCCTTGGAGACTGCAAGACATGAAAGAGAGAATGTTACAGAAACAGGCTTGCTTCTGCTTTGCCAGCAAATGCTGATCTAAACACAGCTAGGTGTGTTTAGACCCCAACAGCACAGGAGCAACTGGGGCCATTTGAGCCCTGAAGTTGGGTTTTCTCCATGCTGCCCATGGCCTGGGCTCTGAAGCAGCTTAAGTTTCTGGCCACCAAAAAGCAAGTATGTTTAATTCAATCAAATATCCTGCAATGTTGTCTTTGAACCATCTAACAGTGGTGGTAATTATACCGTAGCTGTAAGATAAAAAAAATCAAAAGGTGTTATTAATGTAATAACTATGGTTGTTATGCACAAAGCTTTAAAGTGGAAATCAAAAGTAAATTCATCTTAAACTTTGGGCTTTGCGTGGCACCAGAAATACAGGACAACCAGGAGTGTTGGAACTAAGGGTGCTGGGGGTGCAGAAGCACCCCCGGCTTGAAGTGGTTTCCATCATATAGGTTTACAATTTTGTTCAATGGCTTTCAGCACACCCACTATAAAAATGGTTCCAACGCCACTGAGGACAACTTCCCATTTTCTGTGTCAGGCACATTTCCCCGCCCCCCCCCCCCAACCTTCTGGCCAAGATCAACCTGTCCCCAAAGCCTTGTCAACAATATTTCCTTAATGTGCTTGCTCTTTAAATCAGCCACATGCTCTTCGATACTTATGCAGAGAACAGATTGGGATTACATATACATGAAGGAAATGGACAGAAAAAATACTGCTACATTGCTCTTTGTTAGCACCTTTCATCTCAACACCCCTGCAAGGCTGGGGATGTCCTATCAATCTTAGTATACAGATGGGGAAACTGAGGCACAAGGGGGGCGTTTGTTTTGTTTAAGTGAGGCCCAAGGTTATACAGAAAGTTGGTGGTACAGCTGGGAATAAAAGCCACATCTGATTCCCAGTCACATGCCTTTCATCACAGGACAATCTCTCCTTCCCTAAAGATTAGAATTTAAAATGTTTCTCGTATGTACTAAACATTAGTATTATTTATTTAACTGCCATAGTAAACTCAGGCACAGCTGGTGCTTTTAAATTAGACCACAGTTATTGCAAAACTATACAGCTCATAAGATTGTGTCTCAGCAATGAAACTGCTGGTTCTGGCCTATCATAACAACACACCATGGTAACGGTATGAAATGTATGCAGAATCGCTGGTAATAAATGTGCATGTTAGTCCCTCAGATCTACACACACACACCAGCTGACCAGTGAGACAATGCAGATATGAAGTGCAATACAGCTGTCTCCTACCCGCTCCCTGCTCTAATACTGTAAGCTCCAGAGGGGTTGGTGTCACTACGAATGCGAAGTATGTAGACACACGTGTGACTTGTTTTGGCTTGAGTGCATGACATTTCATTATGGGCAATTTATCACATGGCTTTATATGACCACTTGTCTGGCTTTCTACCACACTGAAGTCTTTAAACTATTCAGTCTCAAATATACCGAGAGGCATATGTAGAAGCAAAGAGTTCAGGGAAGTAAACTGGTGCAAATGGAAAGCGATGATTTCAAAACTAACCCGATTCAAAAAGCAGTTGGGATGATCAAACGTGTCTCCATTGAAGTCAATGGCAGAATTCCTATTGACTTCAATAATGCCAGGATTTCACCTACAGTTCCTTAAAAACAAATAAGGATACTCAGATGCTTAAAGTTACACAAGACCTTAAGTGTTTTGCTGGATCATCACACAACAGTTACACCACATTTACATGGGTCATTTTACTGGCAGGGTACTAGTAGTTTTAGCATTTCTGGAGTTACGTCTGTAGTCCTGATATCAGCAAAACTCTCATTGACTTCAGTGAGAATTTTCCCTGCTTTAGAATTGTTAGGTTGGTCTCTCTCTCTCTAGTAAAGCAGTAGACAGGTTCAAGAAAAAGCCATTGCAGATCACAAGAGCGGTGATATAAGCAGCAGTAGGTGATCAGGGTCCTTCAGTGCTATAGTCTCTTGAAATAAAGGGAATACTGATGAAAAGCAACTTCTCACAATAATTAATGCACCAAAAGTCAAGAGACCCAACTCCCACACCGATCAGGGCACTACGGTGGGAGAGAAATTGCAGACTTGTGGATTTTGCATAGCTTGAACATTTGGAAGACTTATAAACATCTTCAAAGGTCAGCCCAGATGTATATTTATACCCAAACAAACCTTTCTAATGCCACTATATATTACAAAATGATTTCTTCCTACTTGGGTATCTATTATGTTATCAAGTTAATACCCACAGTACTTCACATCCTGAGCTTAGCTTCACTTCCCAACTAATTCCCGTAGCCACTGTAACTAAACTACTTGCTGGTTGGCCTCCACTAGATGGCGCTATGCGAAAACTTTTTTTATTACAGACTTTTAAAGCCACAGTACATGGATTTATCAGGGAATGAACTGAATAGATTAGAGAAAGAGACTATTATAGTCATTTAAAAATAATTAAAAGGAAGAAAGTCTAATGCTACCCTATATTGTGCTTGGAACCACAGATGAGAGGAAAACACGGGGCAGAGCAGCTGCCCAAGGGACAACTGAAGCAGCTTTTCATCTGCTCTGCTGCTGTAGAGCATTTTTGCTTGATAAATAGGTCCCAAAATTCAGAATAGTCAGCACCCAGTCAGCTCCAGAGGGTGGTGCAGGGGGGAGGCAGAGTCAACGATTTGTACCCCCACAGTTGGGGCTGCTAGCAAACTTGTGCTTGGATCTTGTGCAAGAGAAAAAAAGTTCCATGTGCTCTGTCCTCCTTGCTGCCCCTTCTCGGAGGTGACTCTCAGCTTGGCCCTATTATTGTTGATGGGGTTTCTGTACAACTTAGGGGAGAAGAATTCAGTGTGATAAAGTTTCATTGCAAAGGAGCATGAGGGATGGATGGAAAATACCTCAGAGTTTCTCTCCACGCTCCTGTCTGGGTGCACAGGACTATAATTGGAGCTGTGTGCATAGTGAAGGGAGAGCGGACCCCACAGAGCTTATAAGAGGTAACGGCACTGAACTTTGTTTGCTACATAAAAGAAACAGACGTGAATAAGTCTATTATATTGTGAAACATTCATGGGTAAGTTCCCAATAGGGGATTTTGGTTGCAACACTCAGCGCAAAACTCCTGTACCTTAAACCGGCACGGCTGGACTTTTACATAAGATGACCCCTCTTGTCTGAGGGGATTGTAGCAAATTTTATTTTGAATTTAATTGTACCAAATGGACATTGAAAAAAATACTGCCCTTTCCATGAATTGTGACAAAAGCCCAATGGAAGGTTAATGCAAGTCTATCATATTTCATTTTTATAATGTCAGGTTAAAAGTCACATGCAACAAACTACAGAGAGGGACATAGCTAATCAGGAGTGTGCCCAGGGAACTGATTTATCCCCCATGTTATATATTAGGATGGACCGCTGCTTAATTGGACAGCCCTTGTCAATGAACAACCCAAATATGTACAGCTCAGTGCCAAGAAAATTAATACATTCTCCAGCAACCATGGCAACCACTCGTTTCACAATGGCGCCACGTGTAGACCTTGTGTTAGTAAGGCCTTAGACAGTGATAATGCAGCGTCTTTGAGGGCAAATGTGGCAGCCACTACTGGTTAGATTTTCAAGAGAGCTTTTCACTGAACACACTGTGCTCTTTTGGAAATATGGCCACTTCTTTACGTACCCAAATGGGAACTGAGAGCTTGAGAATATGGCCCTAAATAGGGCTTGATCCTGCACTCACTGATGCCAGTGGCAAAATGCCCATTAACTTCAGGGATGCAAAATCAGACCCCCTACTCAGGAAAAGCTTACCTATAGCATTGTACACAAAACCTGAGGAGTTATTTCTGAGAGGATGCAATGGCTTCTTGAAAGGCTATCACATGGACCTTTAACGTCAAAATGGAACATCATCAGGCAGCAAAAGAAGGGAACTCTTTAATAGACTCTCATGAATTGGAGAAATTGCCATTGCTTTCCTTTTTTTGTCACAATCCACCTCTCTTAGTTTCTCTTTTTGCTCTTGGCATACAATATGAATAGTAAGTAATATGGCATATGATGTAAAAGACAGTTACCTTTTTCCGTAATAGGTATTCTTCGAGATGTGTTGTTCATCTATTCAACTTAGGTCTGTGTGCTCACTACATGCACCGGTGCTCGAAATTTTCCCCTCAGCAGTGTCCGTAGGGGACTGGCTCTGGTGCCCCCTGGAGTGACACACATATGCCACGGCATAAAGGGCGCTGCCGGCCCCCTCCACCCTCACTTTCCTCTTGCTGGAAACTCCGACAGTGGGGAAGGAGGGCAGGTCATTGAATGGACATCTCGAAGAACACCAGTTATGGAAAAAGGTAACTGTCTCTTCTTTGAGTGATTGCTTATGTCCATTCAACTTAGGTGACTCCCAGCAATACTCCTCGGAGGCAGGTAAGGAGTTCACGGACATGTAGATTGCAACACAGCTCTGCTGAACCCAGCGTCGTCCCTGGCCTGCTGAGTGATGGCGTAGTAGGCCGTGAATGTGTGCACCGAGGACCACGTCGTGGCTTTACAGATGTCCTGGATCAGAATGTTTGCTAGGAAGGCCGTCGAGGATGCCTGCGCTCTAGTCGAGTGGGCTCTGATGAGCGGCGGAGGCAGGGCCCCTACCAGCTCGTAACAAGCCCTTATGCAAAAAGGTGATCCAGTTAGAAATCCTCTGCGTGGACACAGGGAAGTCCTTCATTCTATGAGCTGTAGAGATGAAAAGCTATGGAAAGGCTTTGTCCGGTCTAGGTAGAAAGCCTGGGCCCTTCTTACAACCAAAGCATGGAGGCCCCTCTCTTCACTAGTCTCATGGGGCTTGGGGCAGAAGACCAGAAGGAAGATGTCCTGGCTCATGTGGAAAGAAGACACCACCTGGGAAGGAAGGCCGGGTGGGGCCGGAGCTGGACCTTGTCCTTATAGAAGACCATGTATGGTG